TCCTCCCTGGTCCCTCTGGAAAATCTAATTCGAAGGACTGAGCGCAGATCTCGGGTACCAGTAATCCATAATTCACTGATGTAAGGAGCAGGGTGAGCTGTGAAGGGGCTCGGCACTGTGTGCCATCATTGGCTCTCAGCTGCTAAGGAACACCGCTTTCTCCTGCAAAGCTATCTGCAAGTTCTGCCAGGTTGCACACTGCAAATCCAAGCGCCAGTTCCCCAGCAAATCACAAGATGCTCCCCAAAGTGTTTGCCACCTCCCCTCCCAGGGTTCCAGACTCACCGTACCTGATGGTACTTCTTTAGGATGTTGTGCATCTCTGCTACGTCCTCGCTCGACACTGCCTTAATGACAAACCTCCTGTCGTAGGTGGTGAGGAACCGGGCCCCACATCGGCCTTGGCTGTCACTGTTCACCGGGGCGCTTCGTGTCACCGAGTTCTGAGGGAACCAGAACGAAAAAGTGAGGACGAGAGGCAGAAGCTGCCATCTCCCTAGAGAAGAAAGAAGGGCAGTCCTGGAAAGCAGATGAGACATGGGTGACCAGAGCCAGCTCCACGGCCTGGCTCTGGAGCAACAGACATCCCAGGGACTTTGTGCTCCACCTTGGTAACTGTGACAGTGTCCTGGCCAAGCTTCAGAGCCAACACGATTCAGTTGTGACTGCTAATCAGCAAGCATCTTTGAGTGCTCAGCACTCCTGAGGTTAACCCCATTGTAGAGAAGTCTGGACATGGAGTTTAGAGCTTTCATCTGGGCCTTCTACTTTTTTATGTGTTTTACTCCAACACCTGGCATGCATTTTTTAAGATGTTTTTTATTAATGAGTTAAGAAGGCAGCATACACAGGCCAAGACTTCTGAGCATTTCCTCCTGGAAATCTAAGAACCAGCAGGGTATTTTCAAGTTTTAAGGAAAAACAGCACAAAATGAATGAAATGACCTGCCTTCTTTTCCATGAAAAAGCAGCTTAAACTGGTAAAAGTCTAATTGTTTGGGAATTCTTTACAGGTCATTCTGAAACCAAAAGCCACCCTCAGCCTCTGCTATTCTTACAACTGGACAAAAAGGATTGTAAGTATAAATAGCTTGGCTGTTCTTCCAACAACCAGCAGCATCTGCCTCTATATCCCTGTCTCCACCCTTAGCAACGAAACATTGCAGCTTCTTTTCATACTTGCAGCACAATTGGAAAATCCCCTGCAAACTGCAGAGCAAGTATCTGCCATGTTCCACAACACGGCTCTTGGTTCTGATGCCTCTCCCCAGGCAGGGGGACTTGCGGTGAGCCACTGCTCTTCACACCTTCCAGGCTCAGCCAAGCAGGTCACCAGTCTCCTGTTTGTTTCCTCCATCACTTCTCAGCAACTGCCTTTGAACTCCACCAGCCCAGTCACCGGTGTTTGTTCAGAAGCCATTTTGTCAACCAACAGTACAGGCTCTCACCAGCATTTCCTCGCCACTGGCGTGAGCAGACGGTGAGAGTTGAGAGCTGTGCTCTGCAACACAGTGGTACTGACACCCGGACAGTGGTCTTCAGCTCAAGGCAGATGTGTCTTTCTGGATCTCAGGGCTGGACCTCGGCTCTCAGAAGAGCTGAAAGGAGAGGGAGCTTGCTCTTCTGCAGACAGAGACACGCAGGCAAGCAGAGCCTGCTGCGAAAGAGGGATTTACCATGTCACGCTGCAAGTGAGCCGAGAGGTTTCCTTCCAGAATGAAGCATTTAAAGCTTTTAAAACTTTAATGAAGCAGGGGAAAAAAGAGCTGAAAGGAGAGGGAGCTTGCTCTTCTGCAGACAGAGACACGCAGGCAAGCAGAGCCTGCTGCGAAAGAGGGATTTACCATGTCACGCTGCAAGTGAGCCGAGAGGTTTCCTTCCAGAATGAAGCATTTAAAGCTTTTAAAACTTTAATGAAGCAGGGGAAAAACTCTATTCCTGCCAATGGCTTTAGAAACCGTCAGGAAAATACAGGCAAACAAAAAAACCCCTTGCTTCTTGCTGACATTTGCAAATGAGTTGTGCTACAGAGTTTAATCACCCCTCACCTCAAAACCACAGAGCTTTTCCTCTAGTGGAGATGGGAAGCAGAAATCCTGACCACATATGGACATTACCAAATTCACAGCCCTTCGGTTTACTTTGTTCCCTTCCTGTCACTCCCACCTCTTCCACAGTTCGGGTGTTATATTTAGCATTCTGGCTCGATTCCCACGCAAGCCATCACATTTCACCCACCTGAATTCAGCTCAGAGAATGTTTTCTGCTTTCTGTTCTAGCTGGACACTTTTAAAGAGCCCAACTGCTCTGCCCCAGAGATGGGAGAAGTAATCCTTCAGAGCAACAGGTAAAGTGTAAATGATAAACCAGGTATTGAGAACCAACAAGACTGCGGGTGCTTCTGTGTAGAGTTACTTCACATGGTTCTCATAATTTCTTAAAAGAACAAAATTTCTAAAATATACTATAGCGGATGGACTGGGAAAAAAGATAATTAGGAGCTAATGACTTCACTGCATGTGAGTACGCTGAAGGGTATGGAGGAAGCCAGCAGACAGATCTGTTCCCCGGTACGGCCAGCCCCAGGGGCAAGCAGCCTCCTCGAGAGCCATACACGGCCTGGCATGAGCTACTGTCAACAGACCACGAGGCAACGGCACTGCTTCTCCTGGCAAAATGCCATCGCTGCCTAGAGAACAGACCCGATGGTAGGAGGGAAAAAAATAAAATTAATAATCTAACAGGCACGTGCTCAAGAAAAGCATGGAATGAGCAGCTGTGTCGTGAAAAGAAGAGATCTTCCATGCCAAGCAGGAGAGATCTGCGTGCGCAGCTCACGGCTCGCAGGTAATTACAAGGCAGTGAGCACACACAGGCACAGCGAATGCCTCCTAACGCAGGGCTCGGCCCTATCTCTGCCAGTGGATGGACAGTCCCCCAGACCGGAGCTGCAACAGGCTGCCAAGAGGCAGCAGCCAGCATTCACTACTCCTCCTGGGGATGGCTGGCCCCTTGAAGAAGAAAAGCAAAGATGACTGTCAGTTCTGCTCAGAAAACGTGTCTCACTTTGAGCAAACACCCTCAAAGCGCCCAGCATGCCTGAGAACAGGCAGCAGAGTAGGATGGGCCCTGGCAGCCAGGAGAGAGGCAACTGAGACACAGATACACACAGAAGCAAAAAGCCGCAGACACCAATCCCAGTATCCTCAAAAGTCACCACTTCTCAAAGAGGGAGCAGGATGCTCCCCCTGGCCTGGGGACAAGGGGCAGAGGATGGGATGCAGGTGCTGCACGTCTGCTCCTTGCCCCATGCCACAGGAGACCAGAAACTGGATCACGTAGACCCAGTGTCTCACCAGCACAATGAGCAATGCAGCTGGAGTAAGAAAACAGATCTCTTCATTACATTTACCTTGAAACAGGGTGAGATCAGGCAACAATCTAGATATAATCGGGGAGAATTCTGACACGCTTGCGGAGGGCGTACGCACAGATGTACGTGGACATGGGCACACACACAGACTACCAGAAGGAAGCAGTTTGTTGGGATTAGCAGCAACAGCTCTGCTCCCGTCTGCGCTCCCCACAACGCAGGCAGCAGGGAGCATGGCTGGGCTTCTATGTGAAGCAAAGAAGGGAGAGAGCAAGAAGCTTGCATCACTCACCCACGGCTCCAGCACTAACGTGCCTCTCTGGGCATTCCAGTGAGTATTTTAGTTGAAGCCCTCGACCAGCCAGTGCTGGCGTATTGCCAGCCTTTATCAACTGCAGCAGAGTGCCAAAGATACCGGGTTTAATTACCTAACACTTGGCCTGCTAAAGGCCACGCAGCTATCAAAGCCACCCTCTTCTTCGGCACTGGTTTCTCCCTCATTTCAGAGGTCTCTAAGCAGCCTGCTGCTACACATTGTCCGCGTGCGTAAGATTAAGAGCTGTGTGTGGAAGGGGCCATGCTGCAGCAGCCAGAGTTGCGACATCTCTCTTTCACTGGCTTTAAGCCCAGCACTATTAATACAAGAAAATGCCTCTCCCCTCCAAGGCAAGTCTGAGCCTCTGGCCTTAGGGGATGGATCCCAAAGCAGAAGCCACTTTGCTAAACCCAATTCAACAGCACCAATGCCTGGCACACGCACTTGGTTAAAACAGAACCCAAATCTGTAAAAAAACGACAGACTCATTTTCCTTGCAGATGTTCTGCACTAGATCACTGTTATACTCAAGCTCCCGCCTGTCTGCAACCATCTGCTGCCTCTTATTTTATGCCTAGACTGTAAGTGCTCTGGAGCAGGGACCATCTTTTCATCCTGCAATTGCCCAGTGCCTGGCACAGCAAGATCTACTCCATTGCTGGGCACACTCAGGGTTATGATAAAAGCATTCAAACCATGATTATAAGGCCATAAAAACTGACCACACAAGAATACTGATATCATAGTTTCTCTGCCACCTTGTTTATTCTGTCCTAGGGAAAGGTGTTAGGAGCGCAGGGAGAGAAGAGACGGTACCTGGTAGTCTTGGTCATCAATCCCAAATCTTTCTCGGAGGTTTCGGAACACCAGTGGACAATACTCCTTAAATTTAAAGCGACTTGGCAAGTTTTCCCTAGAGCAAAGCAGAAAAGATATTCTTGTGCAATGACCAGCTTGTGAAATCAAACCAAATTCTTTTCCCAGTTCACTGCTAACCCCCCAGGGTACCCAAACCCCCTCCTACCTACAAGCGCCCTATTCTGCAAGTATTTACCCTCATTGGGGTAGCTTGTTTCTTTGGATGCCTACAGAAGTCATCTGTTCATAGAAATGCTTGCAGGATCCAGCTTTTGACTAATAGGCTCTTTGGATGAGGATGTCTGTCTTACAGAACAATCTCCCTTGTCACAAGCACAGATTTGACAGAATAATTTCTCTCTTTCCTCTTCCTTTGTTGCTTTATTCCGTGCAGTAACACAGCTGCCCCCTGCAATACACTGTTACTGTTTAGAAGGAAAAGCTGGAGAAAGGGGGGGCTCTGATTTCAGATCAGATCAGATCACTCATGTGTCCAAAGAAAGTTCAACACAAGACAAACCATCTCACCCAGAACACAAAGCACAGGGGGTGAATCAGTGCCCGTCTGGCACGTTCCAGACCAGTCCCAACCATCAGAGAGCGAGCTTTGCTGCCAGACCTCGCCAGCCGGGAACAGGGTCTCCCCAGAGCACAGTACAGTGGACAACAGGCAGCATTCCCCGGCGCTGAGGGAGGCTGCATCTGCTCCCTGTCAGAGCTCCTGTTCTGCCCGGTGAGGAGAAGCAGAGAGAATGGTGCTGCTTGGACACAGCGGGAGACTTTGCCAGCTCATTCTCAATGAGAATCCTTTGTACCAATATGTGGAAAACTAAAATCTATGTAGGAGAAGAGGGAAGAGCAGATACTGCAAATTGTAGGTGCCAGAGAAGACAAACTTTTGAATCACACTCCCACTCTCAAAAGCTGATCCCTGTGAAACTTGGTGAAAACGAAGCATTAATCAGGGAGCACTGCAGACCTGCGCACACACAGAGCCAGGGCGGAGAACACAGCTCTCGGCGCCAGTCACTGCCACAGCTTTAAAAGGGCTTCTGAAAATTGATCTTTTGGGAAAAGCAGAAGGGGTTAACTCCACACAGTCCCCATGGTCCAGGGGTAGAATGCAGCTTCACAGCTGCCTCCTGTGAAGAGTCTCAAAGAGCCAAGGAACCTAGCAGGTCACGGAGAGCAAACTCCTACTCCGTGGTCTTGGGATGTGGGTTCTGCTGGTCAGGACAGGACACCCAGCCAGGGCGCAGCAGGAGTCAAGAGGCAGTCCTGCACCAGTTTCATGCATAACCAAGAATGTGCAGCAAACTCCAGTCCTAGGGCTTTGGACAAGCTACACTTTGTGAACCCTAAAATATTGTCTTCTGTCCAGCTCAGTGAATATCTACGCGTAACTAGCTTTGCAGTAGTGCCACTTCTGAGCCTGGCCTTACCAGACTCCTCATCCCTCAAAGGATATAAACCAAACCACCAGGCAGCATCTCAGTGACAGACGGAGCCCCCGCCATGTCCTCCTGAGTGGTGTAGGCAGGGCACAGACTCAGGGTATGTGTCCAGCCATGCCAGATCCTCTCGGCGTTACAAGAGGGAACAAACCAAAAGGCCTTCACCATGCCAGTTTCCCCCACAGCAAAGAGCTCTAATTATTATAGAGACAAACAAGTTGGGAAGCACCTACTTACTTGTTGAATAGATGATTGTCCACCTTAATCTTAGTGTAGGCTTTAAAGTCATCAGGCATTAACATGACAGGGACAGGAACATTGCTGAGTTCGTTGATCTAAAAGAGAAAGGAAAGGGAGACTCAAAACCCAGGTTCCACTGCTCTGCAGTTACTGTCAATGGACTTACGGGGATGCCCAATACCCCAGAGGCTGTTTTTGAAGCAATATAACCCATTAAGACTTTCAGAGCAACTTCTTGTACTGAAGCAACCTGGAGAACGCTGTGGTTACAAGTCACAGAAGCATCTCATTCAATAATGTGTGCTCCCGAGCCAGCCTCGGCTCCTTCCTCTGTTCACCTTCCACTGCTCATCCAAGATACAGCTTAGAATTGAGACAAACCTACAGACCAAGAAAGGGCAAACTTTATGTTTTAAATAAACCACCTTTGCCATTATTTAGGAAATGTTGCACCAGCCAATTCCTTAACTAGTTCTCACTGTTACAAATCACAGATGACCAAATCTTCAATGTGGCCAGCCAGAACAGACTCTGGGTAGCTTTGGTGCAGCACAACGCAGCTCCCCTGTGGATGCCGTTTCTATACTTGCTGTCTCTTGCTGCTCTTAACCCACCTTCTCGAAAGGGATGAGTCACTCCACTAGATTGTTTTTGCTCCTTAGTCATGTGTGGCAGCCACAGGAATACAGGGAAGCAGAAGAATGAACGTTCAGCTACTATTGTGCAGACAGGCTCATGCTACAGCACCCAGCAGCGAAAGCATCAACAGTAAAAAAAGAAATCCAGCTCTGGACTATATCTGGCTACCCTGCTCCAGACAGACCCATGCACTGACAAGGATGTGCCAGCGTTCAAGAGTAGGTCAAGAGGCAGCATGTTTCTGAGCTGCCTTTTCTGAGCGTCATTCATTCACACGGCCTTAACAAGAACCACGAGTTCTTGAATTGAGCTGCTATTAACACGCTGGATTTAGGAAGCAATTTCATTATAACTCCATTCCCATAATTACTGTGCCTAGCAGGTAACGCTGGAGAAGCACACAACACTGGCAACAGCAGGGTTTGGCTAGGAGTCAGGTCTGGGGTCTGTTCCCAACACCAAACCCTCAGGCAGGTCAAGCAGTTTCCAGCACGCCTGCAGAGCACGCAGCATCTCCCTTAGCCACCGGCCTAAGGAAACGGACTCCAGTTCTGGGATTCCCTGCTCGTTGCATGCAACAGGACAGACGATACTGTCCCAATAGCTGCTGCCACATCTCCTCCAAGGAGGCGGAGGTGACAGGAGGCGTGAGGAAGCCATTCTGCAGCAGGGTCTGTGGCACAGTTCAGCTCTGGAAGCACCAAGGAGGTCCCAGCTCTGGTGATGTGCAGCAAGCTGTCCAATTATAGGAGCAAGCCTTTGACGAGGTACCTATTTTTCACATACTTTCTCCATCGTTACCAATCAAAAACCAGACCAGATTTAACAAATGTCAGACTGGAAAGACAGATACATACATGCTGCAAAGAGAAAATATGACTATTTTCAGAGACAGCCATCCCACACAACAGATAAGCGGAAGGTAAACCGGCCGCCACTCCGTTAAGAGCAGAGATGGTGCTCTTTAAAACCCTGGCCAGTATTTACTTTATAGCAGCACCAAGGAGCATTAAGCACTCCCATAAAGTGCTTTGGGATGTATGGGAAATGCTGCGCAGATGAATGAATAAATAAATAATGTCATACGCCTCCCATCATTTGTAATCACAATGGAGCAGGGAGGCCAGTACCCCCCGGCTTAAGCTAAAGGCTCAATCCTGCACAGAGCCGCTCCTCGAGCCGCAGCTGGAAGAGAGGAAAGGCAAGAGGACGGCAGATGAGGAAGGGAATTCCCAGATCCTGAGGTCCACCTCGCAGCTACCGCAGGCAGCTGTATCCAAGAACCCCAGGCAGTGATTTCCCCTCCGGGTGAAGGAGGGGAGAGAAAACAGCTCATTCTGTACCAAGCAAGAGGCGCTGCCTCCAGCCACTAATTATTGCTGTCTAACAGGAGGGGAAGCCCGACAGCACAGCTCCTTAGACACTCCTGTTCTCAGCCCTCTTCTCGGCGGTGGGTAAGGCACAAACAAGCTATTATCAGCTTGTTCCAGAGCGGAGGAAGGGTGCTGACGGCTGAGAGGGAACAGCGATTTGGAGATTGTCTCCTCCCTGCCAGAAATTCAGACACAAATGCTAGCAAAGTGAGATGTCAAGACGTTTCTGGGTGTCCTCATTTCTGCCAAAGCAGAAACCTCAAAGCGAATGTTGTACCTGTTGCAACTCTCCTGACTGGCAGAAATGGTGCACCAGGATACCTCGTCTCATTTAAAAGATGCCCCCACTCTTCCCAAGATGTAACAGTCTGACAACAGCCAAAAAAATCCCCCCTGCAGAAGCCTTTCGCTTCTTCCAGCTGCGTATGGCAGAGCTTTCTGGATGCTTCGGGATTCCGGCTCTGGAGGAGATGGGGAGAAGGAAGGGATTTGTGCTGGGGACTAGAATCGCTGCCAAAGAGCTGAAACGGCCATTCTAGCCCCAGCACTGACAGCCTGCCCTCCACCTCACAAGGCAGCTTTTGGTCAGATGGCTACTCGGTCTTTGTTCCTGACACCAGTCTGAAAGCAAACACGGGTTTGGTTAGGGGTTTTTTTTTGTTGTTGTTTGGTTGTATTTTATTGTCCTTGGTTTGTTTGTTTTTTAAGCAAGAGAGATGTGCATTGTCTGCTCCCACAGTAGCTCCCATGCTTGACACTTTCCTCAGGATCCCAAAGGGAGAGGAATGAAAAGCCTCCACACTGCCTTGGAAAAGGGATATCCCATACCTTCCCTTCTCGTAGCACCACCTTCAGCATCCAGTGCCCCTTCTTCAGGGCTATCAGGCCAGGTCCTGCAGCACAGTGCCAAGCGAAACACTAGCAGACCTTGCCCAAAGGAAAGCAGCAGACAGCACCGCTCTATGGGGATCCTCTCCTGTCCTTATCATGGTGGAATCTGAGCAGCCTCCGAGAGCAACGTGACTAACGCCTGGCACATGTTTGCTCTCTCGCCTTCTCCCCGGGGAGAGGCGTGTAGCAGGAGATTATATATAGCAGAGTGTGTGTCTCTGTGTATTTATGCTACAGAAGGCAAGGTCACCGCAAGGTGCATGGCAATGGGGTGCCCAGCAACCCCCGGCTCCCGGGGAGCCCGTTCCCACAGGTCTGTCCTGCCTGTCTCCCACAAAGAGATGTCACCCAGCTGTAGAAAGCTTGCGTGTACCTGAAGCTTTGGAGATCTCTGGGGCTGGTGCCGGGCATGGGATGGACAGCGAGATCTTGGGCTTGCTTCTTTGCTCTAGAAGAGGCAGCTGCGGAGAGCAGGGGTGCAGCAGCAGGCAGCACCACAGTCACGCACCTCGGTCCTGCACCGCAGGGGTCACGGGCTATTCTGAGAAGCACAGCAACTGCGAAGAGCAGGACTGTGCTGTACAGCAGCCAGTGCCTGGGGTATTTCCCCATCTCCACTACAAAGGCTTTAGAGGTCCCCAAAGTGGAAAAACTTAAGAACAGCTAATTTAGAGCACAAGCTCTTCAGACCAGGGATCTGTCTCCAGACCCAGCATGACGCTGGCTTTCTGTAAGTCATCCAGCTTTTTAGACCTAATCTGCCTTTGAATCCTCTTGAAAATAAGCCCATGTTTTGTTTTTGCCTCTTATGCCAGGAGTTATCTATTCCCCCACCGGGTAGAAAACACAGACAACCTGACAGGGCCCAGTCCAGGCTGAAAGCACCATTAAGAAGTGCATTTTGCCACTGCCACCTGCATTTTGCAGAGAGACATAAGACACTGGTCCTGCCCCTCCCCAGGCAAGAGACAGCGTGAATGGCACATGCCCGTCAGCCTCACAAAAGACTGAGACATGCACCGGGCTCGGAGGGTCTCAGTGGAGCTCAGAGGATTTAAAACCAAGACACATTTCAGACAAACCAATTGATATCTTCACTAGGCAACAGCAGGGGCACTAAGAAAGAGATGCTTTGCATTTCTCCGCTAGTCTCACCGTATTCTGAGAACAAAGGAGCAATTTCCCAAGCAAGGCAAGCAGCTCGGTGTGTCCAGAGGTCACCCCTGCAAGGAGAGGTAAGGCAGCAGACTGTCCGCTGTGTCAAAACAGCCCTGATCCCAGCCGGAGCCCCGGAGGGGACGGCAGCCAGAGGCCACTGGAGGAGGGACCAGGGCCCGGGGCAGCAGCAGTGGGTGACGCAGAGAAGACCCTCGTCTCTCCAAAGCTGCAACTGCCACCCTCCTCCTCCGTTTGCCCAGCGGCCAGAGGAACAGCAAGCTCAGCTCCGCCGTTCCTCCAGATCCCCAGCCAGCAGCTCTCCGCTTCCCCCCGCAGCAGTGCCCGGGCCCTTCACCCGCAGTCAGCAGAATTCATTTTTGCCTACGCCGCTGAGAAGTCTACAGCCACCCCTGGCCTTACAGGGCTGGAAAAATACCACTTCCCCTCTGTCTGTCAAGCTTTTCTTTCCTGGTCACTTGAATTCTTGAGCAACACCAGTCAGTACGATTCTGTGTGTATCTGTAGCTGATAATTTGTCTTCCCCACCAAAGCCAATTCCTTTTTCAATAAAAGGCACATCAATATTCTGTGTCATTCAGGGACAGCTGTTAGAACGAATGGGCCAGGCATAATTTTGTTTCAAAACCTGACTGTAGCCTCAAAGTGGCAATTACCATTAGTAAATTGATGGGAAAATGCAATTTGTTTACTAACAAGATCCAGATGATGGAGTGTGTGAGTCTACTCTCTAGGATTCTTTACAACAGGAATTTGCCCAGGAAAATAAAAATACTTTGTTCCTCTCAAAGCCTTTCAATCAGGCATCTCAAAGTACTTTGCAAGCATTAGTTAAACTTTATAATACTCTGGGGAAGTAGGTAAAAGACACGTAGCAAAATCACTTTTAACTAGCATGGAGACAAACCCACATCTGCAGCAAAACTCTGCTGCTGCTTAACACAGTACAGCAACTGGGTAACAGTTTGAGAAAAAAAATACTGTTTTCCATGAATTAGAGCATGATTAATC